ATTTTCACTATTGGATTACTTCCTTTATGTCGTACAAAGAAGTAAAAATACTTTAAATAAATTTAACTTTTCGTTTACCAAAGACTTTTCCCACTTTATGTATAAACAATAATAATAATATAGCACAGAAAAATAATTCCAATTCATATTTATTTTCTATCTGAAATATAAAGTTTTCCTTCAAGTACGTGCAAGAAATAGTCTTGGCTACATTTCGCAATTCAAGTATTTTGATCTAATTTTTTAGACTGGCGTTTATTTAAAACAATTCTGGCACGTCTATTTAATCATTAAGTAACTTACTTGAATTTAATACACAGTACACATCAGGTTTTTCTATTCGCCTTAAATCAAGTCTTTAAGAGAAACGCAACAAAAACTCGTGATGACGCAGAAGATGTTAAAAAACTATGGAATTCAAATTAAAAAGCTATCAGACGATAAAAATCTTTTTGAAACTGAATAGCAACTTACATATGAAAGAATGTGAGGGGAATGTTCGAAAGGCCATAAAAGTAAAAAAATTCAGTGGGATATTCCATTGTTCGGAATTGCTTTAGCAGCAAAAAACAGATATGGATCCAGATGTTGGCGGAACAGCGTTTATTTGCCAAGTCACTTTGCTTGTTATCGTAGAATTCATGCTGATAACATATACTCTAAAAATGCTGAAACAATCTTGATAAGGCTTTCTCTAGCAATAAAAAACTGCATTTAATACAAGAGAAATGAGCAAAATTATAACGCGAAATATTTTGTACGTGCTTGAAATAATATTTTAGTAAACGGGTTTTGTGTAAAGACATTAGTTATTCTTTGGAATCAGGGAAGATGAAAAATTAGCAACGCTTTCGCCGGGAATCGAAATGTGGACCTCTAGAATACGCGCCCAGCGTGCAGACCACCACACCCCGAAGGCATGCCAAGAAGATGGGAGAAATACAATATATACTTCCCTTTTCAAAGTGCGATTGGGGTTTTTTAGGGGACACAATCGCCAAATCCTGGGTATGGAGAATCATCATCCACCACCCTTTTAGTTCGGGCGACATTCTAGAGACATTAGATATTTTTTTGGAAAGTAGGCAAGATGAACAATATGCAACGCCTTCGCAGGAAATCGAACCGCGGACCTCTGGAATACGCGCCCAGCGTGCAGACCACCACACCACGAAGGCATGCCAAGAAAGGGGAAGAAATATCTTATAACTGGTAAAAGAAACCAGACCTGGACGACAAAATTCAAGTGGCTCGTCGTACAGATAGATTTCTGACAGAGCGTAGCGTATTGGTCAAATGACAAATGACATTTAGATCTTCTTGAAAATATAAAAAAGAAAGACAGTTTCGTCACCTGTAGATGTTATCCAATATCTGTTCGGCAGCTTAATCAAAGAATTTTAATGGAATGAGAGAAACTATTCGCACTTTTTGGTTCAGTGTTTATGTGCACCATATATATACTTTGTTTAGAACACAGAAAAAAGTGAGGATGAAAACAAAAGACAATTTCCTTTACTGACGGAATGTTGAATACAGATCCTGATACTCTAAACATGAATAATTTTAATGGTTATTAATGTTTCGTTTAAAATTTGCAGAGATATAAAAATATGAAAACCAAAAAATACAAAAGATTTCATCTGAAGATATCCTTACTGCTCTTTATATCCGATTTCATATTCTTGGGGGTTCGCCATAATAGTATAAATTAACATTGATTGTATAAGAAAATGGACGGGACAAAGCGGTTCGTTCGTTATATCCGGAGATTCGCTATAGCGGAGTTCGATTGCAGTATTTTGTGTTAATTTTAATATGAGTTATTCTTCTTTCCTGACGTTTTTTAACTGCCGTCGGAATAAAACAGTGACTTTGGCTCAGTGAAGTTGGGATTGTAAACAGGAAATCACATTATTCTCGGAGTTAATTATAGAAACAGTTAAACACGGCTGTGTTCAAAAGTGCAGTCTCACATGTAAATGCAAAGCAAGAAAACTAATTATTTTACCACATCGGTATTGAATAAAATTTAACATTTTCTAGAACGCAAATGCAAAAATAAATGGACATTATTCCGTGAAGTACGCTTGACAATTTGAATTATTCTACGAAAAGGATAAGAATTTATTGCCTAAAATTTTTAATTTGGAAATTAACATTTAATGTTTAATTTAGAAATTAACTTTAATTATATAACGATCATTAATGATAATTTAATATTTAAGGATTTAAATTTTGAAACTTTCCATATCTCTAATTTTACTCCATTTTTAAAAGCACCTTTTTAAATTGTAATTAAAATAAAGTATAGGGAGCGCTTATGCACTAGGTCACGCCCTATTGTCATAATAATAGTAAGAGAGCGCCGTAACTTGGACCCAGCTTTTGAACCTCGTAGAAGACATATTTATAAGCGTATAGTACCTTTGCGGCCTGTGGGTACTTAAGATACTGTTGAGTGGATAATCCTGTCGAGAGGTTGTTGGTAGGCATTCATGCCCCCGGGGGGTTCCTCTATCAAAATTGAGTCACAGATTGTCCATTATCTTTAATGTAATTTGGTCGCCCCCATGAACCTTAGGTTACGTTCTCGCTAATGAAATGGCCAAATAACCGATAAGTTAGGGTAGTTCTTAACTATCAAAATGTCAGGCCCCTCGCAAAAATAACATTGGTTATTTAAATCTCCCATTTACTTCTCCTATTTCAAATGTCTCTATATGATATCTGCCCAATGTCCACAGCAAAAGTTTTTCGAAAGTTAATTTGCTTCTGCTATTGTAAAATGACGAAAAAAAATATATTTTATAGGCGTATTATCCCGCGTTGTGAAACGGAAAATTAACGTAAAATTGTTCTGATTTGAACTAAAGACAAATAACAACAATGAATTGTTTAAAGAATCTGAAACAAATGACGCAATGTCTGAGGATCATTTATATAACGTGTTTCTTCCGCCTTCTCAGCGTGCCTTCGTAGTGTAGTGATCTGCATGCTGGGCGCGTAATCCAGAGGTCCGTGGTTCGATTCCCGGCGAAGGCGTTGCTGTTTTTTCATCTCTCTTGCTTCCCAATTATCTAATTTTCTTACAATTTTAACGAATGGCACTAGGCTTAAATGAAAAATGAAACAACGCAAAATCGCATTTCCAAATTAATAACACTTTTGTGCTAAAATATTAAAAAAATTGACAGTTAATTATTTATTGTAGGCTGCATCACGCAGTAAGATGGTTACCTTTGTAGAGGACATCGGCTCATATACATGTTACACGTGGGGAAAACCACGTAAATGGCCATATCATCAAACCCGATCGCTAGAATTCGAACTGTTTGTGTACTTATGGCACAGCACGTTTAATTATATACATAAAGGGGGTGGAGATTTTATATGGAAGACTGGCTCATATACACGTTACACATGGGGAAACCAAAATGCCCGCGCAGGCACCCGTTCGGCTGCAACAGAACGCATTAACATACGTTTCCAGACAAAAAATCAGATTTTTTTAAACTTAATTCTATTTATTTATTTATTTATTTTAGTTCAAAGGGGCTTTCCCTGAGGAACTATTGTTTTGGTTTTGCGATTTTGCGTCGAATCACTCTGAATGTCCATTTCACTTTTCAAACTGTTGACACCAAATTTTATCGCCCTGTATTTTATTTGAAGAAATTAAATAACGAAGAATCTGGAGATAAAAATGCTTTCTCTTTCCTTACACTGTTGCCATTGCTCGCTTGGAAATCGCTGAGTCTGTTAATCAAAAATGCGTTGGAGTGTTACAAAATATGAAATCGATAATAAAATAAATTTTAAATTTAAATTAGGGCTTTCACATATTCTATGGAAGATAACGTTATTTAAAATTTTAATGGCTCTAGGTACCGTTGTTTTATCACACTGCGAGAAATATACATACATTTATGCAGGTTCTTCATTGTTTAATTTCTTTAAATATAATACAAGGCGATAATATATGGTGGCAACGATTTGAAAAGTGATACAGCCTTTTAAAGTTTTCGACGCAAAATGCCAAAACAAAATTAATATTCCTTCAGTGCAAATTGCCGCTTTGGACGTAATTTAACCCTTTGTTGCATCATGTCCACTCTAGTAGACAAAAGTTTAAATTTGTTTATTCTTCTGTAAATGCCTTAACAGATTCCATTCCTGCTTTAATATTAGAACTTTCAACTGTCGATCATGGATGGCTATATAGCATCACTCAGTAAAGCATTGCTATTTGGAAACGGCTTCTTCTGTTTCCAAGTTAGTACAATTTCTCATAGTAAACATTATATAATATTCCTTACATTTTTCTTAGACTGCCATTTTTTATTCATAATTAGTCATTTTAGACATTTTATTTTAAATGTCAGTTTGAGAAAATTGTGGAGTGGGTCGATAAAGATCTGCCGAAAAGAGTGAATTGAAACCCAAATGGACTGCTTATCGAGCCAAAACACCACTGGAAATGTTTGTTTGGCAAGGAATTTCTAGAACATTAGACATTTGAATCCTATAGGTACAGGTTACAAAATCGTAGAAAATGAATTCGATCACAATCCACGAAATGAAGGTATTTTGGGGGATCTGTATGTAAATGTCAGATGTAGATTTACCATTTAAAAGATGGTAATAATCGCATGCAAACAAAACAGGAAACGATTTCAAATGCAATGACCGTAAATCGTTGGTAAGAGATTTGTATGCATGTACGTTTAAGCATGCTGTCCACTGTAGTGAACAAACTGTAGCCATTTTTTAAAACGAAATTTGAATAAAATTAATTTTTTTTATTATTACTAAGGTTATTTTAAGTAGAAAAACACAAAAATTTTCCTTTTACTTCTCTAGATTATTTGTATGCAACAAAGGGTTAAAATCGGATACCTTTCAGAGTTTTTTTAAAAAAAAATTTAGTGTTATTTTGAACAGTCACTTGTAATAATTCAACAAACGAGTTCACAATAAAGCATAAAAAGCAAGCTTACCACATCTCTCACACGGTAATCATATTTCGGAGGAAAAATCAAACTTAGCCACTTTCTCATTGTCTGCTCTCATATTACGAAAAGCCACACTCTCGTCCAATTCAGACTCCCGTTATTATTCCTTACCAGAAAAACAGCTTTTTCACGAATACGTATCCATAGGTCTCTCTCGAAAAACACAGCTTCACTTATCACTAATACCTCTGTATGTATGTACGTACGTGACACAAACAGAAAAACACAAAAATCGTACCCACATTATTTCCCGTTCAAAAAATGATTCCAAATATGACCTGCTGGAAACGTAACTGTGGCAACCTTATCTCCAGAAACCGCTTTTTATGAGATAAGGACACCAAAAAATGTGAGGCAGGTGATAAGCGACACATTTCGAGTGGAGGTGGCAGTGACTTTTTCTGTGTGTGATTTGTCGTTAGGTGAGACGCTGATGATTAAGTCAAAAACAGGCAATAAAGCACCAAGCGTGAAGAGTCACCTTAAAATCTTTTCAAGTTAATAAAAACTCGAGAAGTTTTAGCAATAAAGTCCAAAGCCAAATTATATGACTTACCTGACACCTTTTTTGATAAATAAGCGCGTGTCAGACGACATATTTAGTGACGAAAGCGGAAGGTAAAACGATTTATTGCACGTCTAAACGAAGTTGCTGCATAATTCGTTTTACGCGTTTTTTTTTAAAGCTGATAACGCGAATGTTGCCTGCGTTTGAGTTTCGTCGCAGATAGGATGGTTGTGTTTACAAGGATACATGAAAGTTGTGTATAGCTTGTCGTATTACGCAACGATTTCAGTACATAAATGTTACATCTACATTACGTATTTTTATACTTTTCGTGATTACAATACTTCCTTTACTTCGTACAAGGAAGTATAGCAATCATGAAAAATTCCGTGTATCATATTTCAAAGAAAATATCCATTTTGATCGGTATCGAATGCAATTGAACGATGTTTTTACCTGACATATCTAAACGCGAGGACAGAATAAAGGACTCTTTTTTTTTTTTTTTTTTTTTTTTTCCAAAACGAATTATAAAACCTATTTAAAATGGATTCAATTTCGGTTCGTCCGTCCATAAGTACGAATGCATATATCTCGCACAACTCGAAAACAAGGAGCCTCATAATTTTGAAATTTTGTATATAGGACTGCTATAAAATGCATTTGTGAACCTCCCTTTTTGGTTGCAATGGGCCGCACCAAAGTATATGTATATATATATATATATATCTATACCCACTCTGTTAATCGGCTACATGAGCTCAGTTTATTATTCTTATATGATGCTAAATTGTGCATTTCTGTTTTAAAAATGATTTAATTACATTGTTCTTATCTTCCAGTTAAGAGTTTCATCCCTTTAGTTAATCTGCATGCAATAATTGTAAAATGATCAACAATTTAAAAGTTAGGTTAGTTTAAAAATTCTTAGCATGCCTTCGTAGTGTAGTGGTCAGCCCGCTCGGGTCCTATTCGAGAGGTTCGTGGTTCGAGTCCCGGTGAGGGCATAGCACATTTTTCATTTCTCCTGCTTCGAAATAACCTAATGTCTCTACAGGCTATTTATTAATTTATTATTTGTGAGATTTTGAAAGATAGATATTTTATATTTTACACATACACATTGTTGCAAAAAAATCGAAGCACTGTGAAGGAAGTGGTTGTTTTTGATGAAATATGTGTATAGCTCATATACAGATAATAAAATGATTAAAAAATCAAGGTCATAGTACCTGTTCACGGCTCACAATCACCCACTGAGTGTTCAAATTAGTAGTTGGTAGAACCGCCCCTGGCGTCAATGCATGCTTGAATTCGTCGAGGCAAGAAATGGTACAGGTTCCTAATGTGATCCTGAGACATATTCTGCTAGGCATTCATCCGTTGTCGTTCCAGATCTGCCATATTTTGTGGTGCCCGAATCTGGCGGCCTACCATGACCTAGACATGTTCGATTGTTGAAACATCTGGTGATCTTGCTGTCCAAGGAAGAGTATCAACCACACGGAGACAGTCCAGAGATATGCGAGCGGCATGTGACCTGGGATTATCTTGTTGAAAAATTGCCCCAGGATGACGTGCCATGAAAGGTAATGCAACCGACCGCAGGATGGTATCAACATATCGTCGAGCTGATAAAGATGTACGGAGAATGACTAAAGATGTCCTGCTGTCATAAGAAATAACGCCCCACACCATCACACCAGTGAATGCCTTTGTAAGACAAAGGATGATTAGGACCGCTGGCACCGTCCTCTCCAGACACGAACACGGTGGTCATCTGCTTCAAGAGTGAAGCAGGATTCATCGCTGAACACTATACGACGCGTTGAATAGTCGACAATGATACCGTTGGGGCGGTTCAGGCCTGGTGAACAATCATCCTATCTTGCCTCGCATTTGCGCTCCTTGGCCTTCCAGAGCCTTCATTTCGTCGGCAATTTCCTTGTAGCAACCTGCCAAGCTTTGCACAGCAGTGTCTGTACGCTGCAGGTGGCAGCCTCTTGTTCGGTGTGACCACCAGCTTCACGCAGCCCTACAATGCGACACGTTCGAAGTCGTTTAGTTGTCTGTATGGTATTCGATATCGTCTTAATGGTTTCTTTCGTTGCTCCTTTACGGAATTATAGTGGCAACAACAAACAACAACAACAACAACAACAAAAAAAAAAAAAAAAAAAAAAAAAAAAAGAGATAAATTTTTAGCCTCTGTTACTGGATTTGTGCTTTGTGAATTGCGCACTAGAAATGAGCGCTATGATCGCAATTCCTGTTCATTTATTTGCCTTGAAACTTTGATCATTTCATTTCCGATCAAGCTGTTTTTGCATACCAAATTTCGTCGCGATCGCAAAAGTCCTTCTTGGTGCTTCGATTTTTTTGTGAAAAAGTGTATGTTTTAAATGCATTCCTGCGAAATTCTAAGATATTTCACTTACATATTTTTGTGCTTTTGGTCTCGTAAAAAGAGCTGTTTCTAATCTCATTCCGCTACGACTGAGGAAGTCTGGAAAGTGCTGGAAGAGGAAAGGAAATCAATATTCCTGGGAATTTTACGAAAACCCTTCCAATGCAGACTTCGTCAGACTTCCAATGCAGACTTTACTCCAGCAAAATGCTGGGAGATTTTAAAAGTATACTGTTCACATTTCAAACATTAACTAAATGTGCAGAATCATTAGGTATTTCGAAGCAGGCAAGATGCAAAATGAGCAATGCCCTCGCCGGGACTGGAACTGCAAACCTTTCGAATTCGCATCGAACGTTCTGACCACTACACCATAAAGGCATGCAAAGAAGGAAGGAGAAATACCTTATATACTCTCCTCTTTTAAAGAGCGACTAGGGTTTTAGAGGACCCAATGGCCAAATTCTGGTGGTGAAGAATGATCATTCACCACCTTTTAGTTCGGGCGCCACTGTAGAGACATTAGGTATTTTGAAAGCAGGAAAGATGAAAATGATCAATACTCTGGCCGGGACTCGAACCGCGGATCTCTGGAATACGCGTTGAGAGTGCTGATCACTACACCACGAAGGCATGCTAAGAAGGCGGGAGAAATACCTTATAAATGGCCTCAAAATTATTCTAGAAATATGTAAATACCCTCTGTATTTGAATTAAAAGTTCTCCATTTGCGACTTACAAAATAAAAATTGTACATCATCGACGTACGTATAAAATTCCTCACAGAAATTTCAGAAATCAGTTAAATAAATGCGTCCCTCGAAAAATCACTACGTGCTTTAGAAGTAAATTCAACCTTTCATTAAAACAACATTATCCGGTTAAAAACATTTGCAGCGAAAATAAAAGCCTTTATCTCCTTTTCTACACTGCAAACATCTACTTTTTAATCTGAAGTATCAAGAAAACTTCTTTCTCCAATCAAACGCGTAAGAAGTCGAGAGATACGGTACTCATTGCGAAGAAAAAGGAAATTCTTATCAGCGAAGCCGATTGTTTTCTAGAGGTTCATGATGAGGTTCCCTACACCTAAAGAGACGGGCATGGAGAGGGGGGGGTGGTAGGAAAGAAGACAAAATGGAACATTTAGTGTTCCAATGTCACTTCTTATCGACTCCGAAACATACGCTGGAGCAGTTTCAGCATTTTCAACGGCATCGATTTTTGCACGTGGGTGAACGCGAAAGTGTTCCTGAAGCATTCCCGTTTGTCAGTGTAGGTGAACAAACCGAAACGGCTTTGATGGTTCGGAAAGGACTCCAAGAAAATTGTGCGTTGTAGTACACGGAGGTGGGGAAAGTTGGCTAAGAACTTTATTCCCTAAATATTGAAAGTTGGCTTTCAATTTCCCGCGTTCCAATCTTTTTGTTTTTTTCACGCAGTTTAGGCGCTGAAGCTTAATCTTCAATTTCACGTATTTCAGGCTTAGTATGTAAAACACTAATGCACTATTATAATGACAGTTTTAGAAATACACCTCCAGGGTTTAATTCCTAGACTACTATTCCTGGTATTGGCCTCACGGCCAATGTAATTGGCATTTGACAAATAAAAAACTATTCCAGGTATTTCCAATTTCAAAGTTATCGAAAATAAATTTAACACTTGCACGAAATGATAGATGGAAGAAATTTATAAACATAAAATTTTACAAATAAATCTTCAATGCCGTTAAAAACTATTCCTGGTATTTCCAATTTCAAAGTTATCGAAAATAAATTTAACACTTGCACGAAATGATAGATGGAAGAAATTTATAAACATAAAATTTTACAAATAAATCTTCAATGCCGTTTAATGCTAAATATGCTAATGTTTTAATGCTTGTTAACCTAAAGAGGCAATTTGCGCAGACGGTAATTAATTTCGTTTCGGCATTTTGCGTGGATTCACTATAAACAGAGAATCATTTTTAAAATTGTTTCCACCCAATATTATCGACCTGTGTTATATTTAAAGAAATTAAATAATGAAGAATCTGCATAAGTGTATGCATGTTTCTCGCACTATGATAAAACGACGGTACCTAGACCTATCCAATTTTTAATAACATACGTCTCCACTCGAACATGGGCATATGCAAGCCCAAATTTGGAATTCAGAATTTGCTTTATTATATATTTCATATTTTGTCATATTAAAGAATTTTTGATTAAGAAACTCAAGGATTTCAAAGCGAGTAATAGCAACACTGTACGAAAAAAAATATCTCCAGCGCGGGAAACTGCTTATTGGAAATTCTACAGATGGGCTGAATTTAAAATTATT